AATGCTTTGCTGAAATCAAGACAGACCACAGGAATTCTACAGGAAGACTAGAGTTTGAAACAGTATCAAAGAGAAAGTCGGTGACCCTTAAATGAGACTACAGAGAACTACTGTGGCTAATTAGTGCCCCCAGCCCTAACACAACGCCCTCTAACATGATCAGATATGCTAAGGTAGGAAGAGATTCTTCCACTTATTCTGCTCTTCTCCTGAATAAAATTATGATCAGTGGCAAGGACTTTTGTTCTTTGATTTCTCATTACAGAAAAGGTTCTGAGAAACTATTTTGAACAGTGTAATGTTTCTGCCGGCCATACAAAAATTATTATGGAAAGGACACTGTGACATTAATGGAATAATCCACTTTAAAAAAATCAATATTAAAACTATTCCAAATCTTAACTATAGCAATGAGAATCTAGTTTTGTTTACCACCCTAAAGCACTTACTATTTTAATGAGTTATGGAACCTAGTTTTGGGGTTATCTTTGAAAATGCTTTTACTGTAAATTTTCTCTTAATGAAAATAAGTTACTATTACAAATCTAACCAGAATCATCATAATGAAACTGTATATACATTTTCATATAACCTCCACAGCTCCTAAACAACAACATTCATAGGACTGCATGCTTCTACAATTGGCCAAGCCAGAACAGATACACAGGATCAGTAAACAATTACAAGAACCCACTTGCTAGACCAGACTATTTGTTCTGCATCCTGCCTGTTACCCTTCCAGAGTTTGAAATTACAGAATATCCCCTTCACAGGAAGCAGCTTTCTCCAAAGGCTGACTTGAACCCCCAGGCACATATTTTTATTCCTTTCACACTTTTCAAGTTCTAATGCCACAGCTGCTTCTTTCCATCCCTCTTAACACATTACTTCGTTCTGTCTGTGGCCTACTCCTGAACTGCTATATCACTCATACATTCCTGAGACACCTCTGTACATTCTTCTCTAGAAGTCATACACCTCTAACTACTACATGCCTACATGCATATAGCCATTGAGGAGCAGTGCTATTGGTTTACATTGCTTTTTATGTAAAGTTACAATTAATTTAACTATCTAACAAATTTGCTATTCCTTATGAAAAATCACTAAATTTTGCACAGAAACACATGCCTCAGACAACACATTCACATGAATATTACATGATACATTTTGACTGGGTTATGCCTTTTGAGTCAGTAAAAAAAGAGACTGAAGAATCACAGCCTCTTCACATGTGATTTAGAAGACCAGATAAGCCCACTGTGCCAGCAACTTCAATACCTTACTGTACATGTAAAGAAATTATGTTTTACTTCCAGTCTGGAGCCTGAAAACATTCTATACATTGAGAACTTGTTCTTTATAGGCACTGCATGTGGGTAAAGCACTCAGACATCAGTGTGGCAGTAGCAACCAAAGACAAGCAGATGAAAAGCAGATGTAGCTTGAAAGACTTCTTGAAGTTACTCCAGACCTACAAAGCTATAAACTATTATGATGATAAATCAAACTAGAAATAGATTTTTTTTGTCTTAAAGCAAGGGGAAATCAGACAACAGAATGTAACAATTAGTATATAAAACAGGTTAACAGGTCTCTTTTACCCAAGATAAAATAACACAGAATATTTTTTAATATGAACAAGGATTCATTTCAGTGAAGCTCAGTTAACTAGAAACAAATTATTTTTAATGATCAAAACTATTTAGCTAAAAATAGCCTTAGAGAAACCAAGACCTCCATAATTTTATGCACAAATGCAGGATTTGCACCAATTCTGCATTGCTTGAATCAATGCATGTGTACACAGAACTAATATGGTCAACTAAAAAGGCCAACTGATGCGCCATAAAACTGCATGAGTTCTTACACAATTTGTAAACTAGCTGTTGTTAACAATATTACTGAAGTATTTGAAAGTATTTTCTAAGTATTACCATGGGTATGCATGACGAACATACTGAAATACATCTGAAAGTATATTTGTAGGAAAAAAAAATTAAAAATACATCTGCCAGCATGTACACAATTCAAAAATCACATCTACCTTCCAAATCTTAGTATTTCAAAATACAATAATGCTCCAATCGTTTGGAATTAAACTGAATTTTGAAAACTTACAGGTAAATGAGTAAAAACTTGAAATGTGCTTCTTAAAAAGTTAATAAGGTCCATTAAGTATCCACTGGCTCTTCCATCTGATTCAGACATTGTCCAATCATAGTCAGCAATCTGAATAAATTCATCTATTTTTTGGTTAAGTTTTGTATATATTTCTCCTTCTGCAGCATGCCTTGCATCCTAGAAGAAAATCATGTGCAATTGTCAGAATTCTAAAATATTATTAGAATGCAGATAAAATTATATTCATCAATGAAATGGAAGTCTTATGTTTTTCTTAGATTCAAAAAATATTTTATTTAAATCAATATTTTAACTTCTATCTTAAAGAAAGTTTGAGGCTGTGGGTTTTAAAATACTCCCATAACATACACTATAAAAGTGTTTATAACAGAATATGCCTACAGAATAATCTAAATTCTCGGAGACAAATGAGAGTTGAATTTGGGAACAAAGCAATTACTTTAATCTCTTCACAACAATTACCTTTATCTCAGCCTTACAAATTTATCAACCCTGACACAAAGTTCATTTGCCCTCTTTTACAAAGAAAACAACAAAGAACCTAATTATTTTATCTATTATGGCTGAAGGTTCAGCAAGCATGTTTTTTATGTAATTAATGTCTTAAAGCTGCACATCTGATGAATACTCATCATTTTTCATCCTCCTTTACATATTCTGATCACTACACACCATGATTCAGAGCACTCCCTTACCTCCTCCCACCCTTACTTTTTGTTCTGCCACCACCCAGATTCTACTTTTCAGAACAGTAAAGAGGTAAATTCTGACATTTACTACTGAGTGAGTTTCCGACGCTATCTATCCGCCTTATTTGTTTAGGAGACGACCTCATAGGTGCAATGGGATCTATGCACAGATGCTTGATAAGGTGTATATTGCTGGGAAGGTATGCTTTTGCCAGCTTGGACTTTAAAGAGACTCGATAAATTCTATGTTTTAACTTGGGCTCAACATGAAACTTTCTTCACTGACCTTGAGAAGTAATTTAAGTAAGACATTTAATTTAAAGTGAACAGGTCAATTGCTGAAGGTTTTTAGAGAGTAAAAACAGGCAGGATATATTGGAAGAACACAAAAGTGGACGGACTTCCCATCGCTAGTTTCCTCTGAGAGAAGGCACTCCAAAACCATGACACTTCAGGAAGATGTAAATAGGAAAGGCAAAAAGAAAAAGAAAAAATGTGATCTGAGCTTAAAAGTGGCATCACATTGAGTGTGATGCCAAATTCAGTCTTCTGCCAGGCCATGGGGCACTTCAGGAGGAAGTGAGTGAGATAAGGCCCTGCCACATAGAGATATTAAAGTACAATTCCCTAAAAATAGTGTTTTTACTGGCAAATGAACTTGTAAAAAGTCTTCACCGAACACCTCTCCCAGCCCAACACATAAGAATCTGGCAACCTCTTAACACATCAAATAAAGGAAGATGCTGACAACCATAATTTTGTAGATGGCTATGACTATAAAAGCCTCAATTAAGGTCAAGTCTATATTTAAAGTTTCTAATTGACAATGAGACCTCAGTTTCAACAATCTACAATGACAGGACTTAAAAATATATCTGCTTAGGTTTAGTGCGATTGATTGGGTTTTTTGTTCGATTGTGGTTTTTTGTTTAAAAACTAAGTCATTTCTGGAGTGGCTGTATCATCTTTACCAGATAAGATGATTTATTGGCAATGGCAAGACTAGTCCTTCAGTTTTTGTTTCTGGAAGTCAGCTTTTGGCTACCTTTTATTTTGCTTTGGTTATTGGGTTACAACTGGAGCAGCGTGCAGCCAGTAATTTACGCAAGGAGTGGGGTTTTTTTGTCCCTGAGATAACTGTGAACAGCTCAGCAACTGGATTTTAAACCCAGAAGTTAGAGTTTGAACCCCTCCTGAGAAGCAGCATTGTGAATTCCATGGACAAGTCAAGAAAGAGTGAGTTAGCAGTATTCAGATTTAGGATGACTCCTAGAGGCAGGTGAATTAACTTCACCTCTTCTTTTAACATGGTGACAGATTCTTTCGAAAAACTTACCAGATTTTCCCCCATTATAAAAGTGAAAAGGAAAAATGATGTGGTTTTGTTAAACGGCTTTTCTCTCAGACGATATCCTGAAACCCTGCACAGGATCGGATGCTCTGTATCTAACTCTCTAACAGGCACTATGCAGCTTAATGCTGAGACCCTGGGCTCAAAAACTTCTATCAGCTAGATCTGCAAATACAACTATTTATGCTTAGTGTGACTGCTGATTTAAACAAAGGAGAACAATAGTCATCCAAAGCTGGAAAACAGAGCTAAAAATATTGAAAGCTACACAACTTTTTAATATCATAAAATGAAACAAGTTTTGTTTTGGTTTTTTTTTTCCATTTTCACCCACGTGAAACAATGCTTGGAGAGTCTGAAGGACATCTTAAAATGAGATCTTATATACAAAAATAAAACTAGAAAAACAGGCCTCTAAAATAGTAGCCATAAAATAGGTCTAATGGCTTCTATTAAAAAAATACAGTCTAGATGTATAAGATCCTCTCATGGAATGTAAATGTGATCAATGCTGCTAATAAAAGCAGCTTTTTGACCACTCAGAAAGAATGGAGGTGACATGATTTGCCACCAGGAGATGAATTTAATAACAGTAGAACATACCAAACCCTGTGAGGGCCCAGTTGGGGAACTGCAAGCGGTTTTTCATTAAAATAGAGAGGAGAAAAAAGAGAGATTAACAAGAAAATAATTTTCTACTCTAAGTGGAGAACATTATGCTAACAAGTTCTCCA